GATGGAAACTCACTCACTCATGGAGGTGAGCCCTTATTGAGAAGCCACCAATTGTGCAGCTACTTCAAAACTTCCCTGCATTTTATGGAACCGGAAGGAAACAAATACAGAAATAAGGAGGGATGGGAAACTTATTTTGCTCACAAACTTACCAACAAAAAAAAATCAATATTCTGGTGAGTTTCATTATGAACCTCTCAGACACAGGTGTAATACTGAACAATAGAGTGAAGACAACACAAGCATGTAAAAGTTATCCCTGTTAACAGGCAGTGGAGGCCCATAGGGTTGTGAGATGTTGAGGCTCCCACATTCTGTAGACGATCAACAAACAGATGGTGATGGGGTTGTAAGCCTTACGCACCAACAGGCATCCCTTTACCCCCCAGGAAGATTCTTAATACTCATTTCTGTTAGAGGATAAGTCGACCCCAGGGCCATAGTGCGGCTGGAAGGATTAGGTCAATTGTGGAGGTTCATAATGAGGTTGGGGGGTGATGATATGTAGTCTCATATGTGTATACCCATATTTCAAAGGAACATAATACATCCATCTTCAGGGTAGAAGATGGAGGTAGTATGCTCCTCCGAAATGCTGTTGTACCCAGACTACATGGTGTCATAACTCACAAGGCCAGAACATGTATCTGTTTGCATATTTCAATGCATTAACAAACTGTCACATCATAGTGACTAGACACAAGGTTGAGAACAGTAACTGAATTTGATACTAATGACTCTTATTTACGGGTAATTACATGTTCACAAGAATTTAAAACTCCTCACAGTTCAGAATTGCTGGGTTTTGGACTTTTCCCATCGTCTGGTAATCTACAGACTAGAAAACACAGTAATTCTGAGTGTACGGCCGCACCATAGCTCAAGCTGTTAGTCAATGGGTTCCCATTGAGACGGCCTGGGTTCAATCCCGGGTCTGGTCAAGTGGGATTTATGCTGGTCAGTGTGGTGCTGGGGTAGGTTTTGTCTGAGTACTTCAGTTTCCCCTGCCAATCTTCATTCCACCAAATTCTCCATCATCATAATCACCCAGGGCAGGTACAATAGGTCAATCAGTGGCTGTGGTGCTGAGTGGACCAAGCTGGACTCTACTTCCCCACTAAGCAAATTCTGAGAGTTATACACCACTGTCAGAACCCCCTAGACTCTACTTACTCACAATTCATCATATCACTCTTGGTTAGCTCCTTACCAACATCGTCACAGAAACATTGTTAAGTTTTGGGCTGTAATAGTGTGTTTTTGCCCTAACATTTCTGTCCTCTATAGGTGTGCCTCTGGGTCAGGTCAGGTAAACTGCTGATGGCCCTCACCAGCAAAATCATTCTTGGTTCCGAGTCCCGCAGGACTCATCAGCATATTTTACTGGCTCACGACTCCAGGATCTGTGCAAATTACTGACTGCCTGACCGCTAAACTGCTGCTGGTCCTTGCAAGCACAGTGATCCTTGGTTCTGAGTCCCGCAGGACTCAGAACCATATTTTACTGTCAGATGGGTCCCAGAAAATTCAGACCACCTCTTGTTGTGTGATACAACTCACTCCACACACGGCTTTATGACAGTTTGTTGTGGACAAATCATATATGCACTTGTCACAAACACGTGTTTTAATGGGCCATTGCAACAGTTCCTCTGAATCCAATTTTCAAGGCTTTAGGCATGTTACAATATATATATATATATTCAGGCAATGTCATGTAGGAACTTACCTGATGTGGAAACTGAGCAACAGATTTTTTCAGAGTTTCTAGTAAAATTAATTCT